TTATTTGATGTCTTTCATCCGACGCATTCCAATTATTTCCACCAATTTGTTGAATGTTACAGTTAGTAGCGCATTCGTAAATAAATTTACAAAAATTTTCAAACGATCAAATTTGTTGCACATTCATTTCACCACTTTTCTGAAGATCGTGACTGAAAAAGAACTTCGGAGATATGTCTTTTGTCCGATTGCCTTTAATATATCCTTCATTTAACTGAGCTATACAAGCTGTATTGTCTTCGAATAATATTGTCGGAGGTAACATATCATCATAAATCAAGCCACAATTTTTTTGAATATGGTGAGTTATAGACCTCAACCAAACGCATTCACGACTGATTTTGTGAATTGCTAAAACCTCAACATGGTTTGAAAAAGTAGTTGTTATTATCTGTTTAGCAGATCTCCAAGAGATTGCGATTCCACCACAAGTAAATAAATAACCAGTTTGAGATTTTGCTTTGTGTGGATCAAACAGATAACCAGCATCAGTATAACCAATTAATTTATTTCGAGATTCGCTCGAATAAAATAGACGGAGGTCATGAGTCCCCTGAAGATAACGAAAAATGTGTTCGATACCATTCCAATGGCGCTTTGTGGGGGATGCGCTAAATCTGGCCAGTAAATTTACTGAGAAAGATATATCTAGCCTTGTACAATTTGCAAGTTACATTAATGCGCCAATAGCGCTGAGATATGGTACCTGGGGGCCAAGTATTTCTTCATTTTCTTCTCTTGGCCTAAATGGATCTTTACTGGGATCAAGAGATCCGACCACCATTGGTGTACTCAGAGAGTGTGATTTATCTATATAAAATTGCTTTAATACCTTTTGGGTATATATGGATTGATGAATAAATATCCCATTATTAACATGATCCACTTGTAATCCCAGACAATATTTTGACTTTCCAAAATCTTTGATCTCAAATTCTTTATTTAGATATTCAACCGCAATTTGGATCTCTTCAGGAGTTCTAATTAAATTAAGATCATCCACATATATTGCAATAATGACAAAATTTGATATATTTTTCTTTATAAAGACGCATGGGCATATTGGATCATTAGTATAATATTGTTTCATTAAACAATCACTGAGACGGTTATACTACATCGCCATGATTGTTTAAGTCCATACAATGATTTTTTCAATTTGATGATTCCTTTGGGTTTAATTTATATACTTAAGGCATATTGAATCCCTTAGGAAATTTCATATAAATATCAATATCCAGTGAGCCATAAAGATATGCAATAACTACGTCTAAAAGACGCATGTTGAGCTTTTCTCGCACTGCTAGGCTCACAAGGTATCTAAATGTTATTCCATCAACAACTGGAGAGTATGTTTCATCAAAATAAACTCCAAGTCTTTGTGAGAATCCCTGAGCCACAGGACGGGCTTTATGTCTCACAATTTCATTATGTTCATTTCTTTTTCGTACAAACACCCATTTTTATCAAATGGGTTTCTATACCATATGGTATTTGAACAATTGGTCCGAAGACTTCTCTTTTGTTTAATGAGTCAAGCTCTGATTGAATCGCATTTTCTCATTTTGGTCACTCATTTCTTTGCCAACATTCATGAACCGATTTTGGCTTTGGATCTTCATTTTATTCTATTATATCAAGTGTCAAACTGTATGCGAAAGCATTATCAATAATTGTCTCTTTACGGTTCCAACATTTTCTTGAAGTAACATAGTTAATTGAGTTTTCAATAATCTCATCATATTCTTCAAGATCGTTCTCTTCTGGAGCAATTATTTCAGGGTTGACTTCCTCGTTAGATTGATGTTTTTCAATGTCATTCATGATATTCTCATGATTATCATCATTAATTCCTCTTTTCTTTTGAGGATGTTTGTCTTTGGAACCAAGTGGTCTACCATACTTCAAGCGTGTCGCTGATTTATGAGCATTTCCAATTTGTCCATCAGGGACAATTATTTTAGCCGGAGTATTAACAGCTTGGATATATGATCGAGTGAATTTGTTCAAGTCACTGAATGCATCGGGTAGCTGATTTGCAATATTTTGCAAATTTATAATGCGTTAAACTTCTAGTTCACGCTGTTTTGTAACAGGATAACAAAAATTCAATGGGATTTTCCAATTAATATCCCTTTTTGGTTTATTTTTGTCTCCCCTTAATGTCGGAAAATATGATTCGTCAAAATGACAATCTGCAAATCTTGCAGTAAATAAATCACCCGTCATAGGTTCAAGATATTTTAAAATTGACGGTGATTCATATCCGACATAAATGACCAATTTACGTTGAAGATCCATTTTTGTACGTTTGGGGGGTGGAATAGGAACATAAACAACACACCAAAAAATACGTAGATAAGATATATTTGATTCGTGACCAAATACTAATTGCATAGGGGAATAACTAAGATAGCTTGTCGGCCTCATTCTTATAAGTGTTCCTGCATGTAAGATTGCATGCCCCCAAGTTGAAACGGGCAACATAGACCTCATCAGTAATGGTCTAGAAATCAATTGCAATATTTTAATAAGTGATTCTGCCAGACCATTTTGTGTATGAACATGACCAACTGGGTGCTCTACATTAATTTCAATCGACATGCAATAATCATCAAATGCATTTGATGTATATTCACCAGTATTATCTAGACATATAGTCTTAATTGGATTATCGAGAAATTGTACCCGTAATTTAATAATTTGGGCAAGCAATCTCGCAAATGTCATATTGCAAGTAAGTAATAAACAGACATGAGACCATCTCGTAGATGCATCAATAAGCATCATAAAATATTTAAAGAATCCACACGGTGGGTCTATTGGTCCACATATATCCCGTGTATTCTTTCCAAAAATGTAGGTGATTCAATTCTTACTTTAGCTGGCGATGACCTGGTTATCAATTTTTCCTGAATGCAGACAACACAGGTTAACTCATTTGACTTTAACACTTTTTGACATTTTAATGAATGGTCATATGAATTCTCAATTATTCGCCTCATCATTATACTGCCAGGATGCCCAAGGTGATCATGCTATATTTGAAAATCGGTAGTCTTTTGATCTATCGTGAGGTGTGTTTCAACAACACCTAATCTGGCATAATATAAACCAGTAGAGAGTGAGGGTAATCTCTCAATGATGCATTTCTTTTTATCAATGATATTGGTGATCAATAATTCACCACCGGTATCACTCATAGTTTCAATGTGATAACCATTTTTCCGAATGTCCTGAAAGCTCAGTTAATTTCTTTGAGCTTTAGTGGCCAACAATGTATACTGTATCAAAATTTTCGTCCCCACGGGGAGAAATATAATGGCTTCTCCAGAGCCTTCAATTAATTTTGCATTGCCACTTATTGTATTGACATTCATCTTTTTCCTTTTCAAATGAGAGAAATATTTTTCGTGTTTCAATATAGTATGTGTCGTTGCACTGTCAATGAAACATATATTTGCATCATTTTGATTGACATCCATTTAACCTTCGCATATAAATAAACGTAGTATTAATAAAGGCAAATATAAATATTACAAAATGCATTACAAAAATATAATATGCGATAATTTAAATATTACAAAACATAATGTAAAATGAAAAATATGTCTATCACTGGGGGTTTGTTGGATCTACGAAAAAAAATCTGCTATATCAAGATGTGCTGTGTCATAATCCCAAAGATCATCATCGGGGTCGTCATCATTATCAACATGATTAGTCTCGACCTCCTTCCCCTTTTGCTGCAGTGAGGTTTGATAAAGATCGATTAGGTGTTTGGCTGTTTTGCAGGTATTGGCCCAATGGCCTTCAATGCCACACCGATTACAAATACCGATTTGCCTTTTTCCCTATTTAGCCTTTTCGGCTATATCCCCATATTGGGTTTTACTCTGCATCATGTTAATGTAAAAATTGCGGCTATTGTAAGGGGTATATCGACCACGTTGACTCTCACAACCACGACCATGTCCACGGCCTCTACCACGTCCTCGACCTCGTTCAGAAAATGTCACGTTCGCTTTAGGGAACGGATTGGAACTAATGGGCAGGGACTGATGATTTTTCATCAGTAACTCATTATTTTGCTCAGCTAATAAAAGACATGCAATGAGCTGTGAGTACTTTTGAAAGTTTTTCTCACGATACTGTTGTTGCAGCACAACATTAGAAACATGGAAGGTAGAGAGAGTTTTTTCCAATTTATCATTCTCAATAACATTTTCTCCGCGGAGTTTCAACTGAGATGTAATCTGATTGATAGCAGAGTTGTACTCTGTAACAGTTTTAAATCTTGCAATCGCAAGTTAAGCCAATCATGTCGGGCTTTGGGGAGAGTAATATATTTCAAGTGCCCAAGTAGTCTAGCGAAAGCTAAATTGCGAGTAGATAACAGACATACTTGTGACCATTGCGTTTACGCGTTAATTAGTACCATAAAGTTACTGTAGGGCAAAAGTGGAAAATGACTGTTGACTGGGGTATTTATAGGATTTCCTATCGCTCGTCTGGAGGGCAAGCGAAGCGCTACCAAGTCCAATGTATTTATGTATAAAGGTATAAGGGTGGGTTTTCAGGGCGGGCGAACGGGTAAAGCAACACTTCTTTTTACCTAAGAGTGACATGCAAGCGGTGATGGAAGCGGTACTGGGTGAGCGATACTGCTCCCCCATTGAGTATCAGGGTGAGACAAGCGAAGCGATGGGTGGCTTGGGTCAGGCTCAGATTAGAAGTTAAAATTATAACATTAAGCTACTCCTAGAAAGCGATAGTCCTAACTACTTAAAGCGATAACACTATTCTAATTAAAACAATAAGAAAACTTTAAATCTGAACCACGAAAACAGTAAGAATTAAAAATCTATCTATGAAAGAGATAAAAAGAAGTTGTAGAGTTAACTAGGAAAGCCATAAATTCTAACTAGGAAAGTGATAAAAGAAAGTTGTAAAGTTGGCGGATATAAGATTAGGCTTTTGAATTTCTTCTTGAAATTCTATCATCGAACGAGATTCTGAACCTCCACCAGATTAACATCTGCATTGGCTTGCTGCAATACAGGTCCTTCGATATAGGGTTTCAGTCTCGCTCTATTGACCAGGAAGGAGTCTCTTTCTCCAGGGTTATCCATATTATTGATCCTTGTGGCTCCATTTGGCAGCACTTGTCTGACAATATAAGGCCCAGTCCACCGTGACTTCAATTTTCCTGGGAATAAGTGGAGCCTAGTGTCGTATAAAAGAACCTTGGATCCCACAGTGAATTCTTTCTTCTTCCACTTCCTGTCATGATAGAATTTCATCATTTCCTTGTAGAGTTTTGCGCTTTCATAAGCAAGATAACGGAACTCAGTTAGATCGTGCAATCTTTTGGCGCGCTTTTCCTGCGCTGGGAGAAGATCAAAGTTGAGATATTTGATGGCCCAATACGCGCGATGCTCGAGTTCCAGAGGTAGGTGGCAGGTTTTTCCATAAACAAGCCAATATGGGGACATTCCGATTGGAGTCTTGAAGGCTGTTCTATATACCCACAGCGCAACATCCAAATTTTCTGCCCAATTCTTGCGACTTTTATTTACTGTGGTCTGGAGGATGTTTTAAATTTCTCTATTCGAAACTTCCACCTGACCGCTCGCTTGTGGATGATAAGGGGTAGTCAGATGCTGATGAACACCATGTTGCTGAAGGCAAGATTGCAGCGCCTTATTCACAAAATGGGTGCCTTCATCGCTTATTATCGTTCTGGGGACCCCAAACCTTGGGAATATCGTATATTTTAGGAAGCAGATCACAGATCGAGCATCATTTGTGGAGAGCGTCTGCGCTTCAACCCACTTGCTCATGTAATCCACCGCCACCAGAATGTATAGTTTCCCATTGGAATTTGGAAAGAGGCCCATAAAGTCTATCCCCCATACATCAAATATGTCCACAAACAAGACTCCAGTTTGGGGCATCTCATCTCTATTCGAGATAGAACCCAATCTTTGGCACTTTCGTAAGATTTGGCAAAGACATTTGTATCTTTCTGTAGGGTAGGCCAAAAGAAGCCTGATTGCAAAACTTTGGCCGCTGTGCGCAGGCCAGCGAAATGCCCTCCTACATGGGACCCATGACATTCATTCAAGATCAGCGGGATCTCAGATTCCGCTACACAGCGGCGGATTATCCCATCTGAGCCGATGTTAAACAAATAGGGTTCATCTCAAAAATAATCCTTCGCCAAACTGAGCAATCTCTTCTTTTCCCGTTGTACAGTATGTGCTGGAAACTGTCCCGTAGTTAAGAAATTGGCCAGGTCTGCAAACCATGGCTCATTCGTTTGCACCAGGAACAGTTTTTCATCTGGGAATTGTTCATTGATTCTAGGAGATATGTCCTCTTCTTGCCTTAACCTACTGAGGTGATCTGCCACATGATTCTCGTTCCCTTTCTTGTCCTTGATCTCGATGTCAAACTCTTGGAGCAACAGGACCCATCTAATCAATCGAGTCTTTGTCTTCTTCTTCTCCATCAAATATTTGATAGTTGCATGATCAGTGTGAACAATGGTCTTGCTTCCGATAAGATACCGTCTGAATTTCTCGAAAGCGAAGACAATAGCTAGCAGCTCATTCTCGGTGGTAGTGTAACTCTTCTGAGCGGAATCTAGTGATTTACTTGCATAGTAGATGACGTTCAACTTGGATTCCACTATCCGTCCTAACACAGCGCCGACAACATAATCACTTGCATCCGTCATAAGCTCGAATGGCTCGCTCCACACTGGTGCTGAAATTATAGGAGTGGAGGTCAGCTTCTCCTTCAAAACTCGGAAGACCTCCTCACACTCGCTTGACCAATGAAAATGAGAGTCTTTAAACAACAGTGTAGTGAGCGGTTGCGTGATTTGACTGAAGCCCTTGATGAAACAGCGGTAGAATCCCGCGTGTCCAAGGAAACTTTGCACTCCTTTCTCATTCGAGGGCGCTGGCATCTTTTCGATCACACTAACTTTCAATCTATCTACCTCAATACCGAAAGATGAGATCTTATGACCCAAGACAATTCCTTTATTTACCATAAGATGACACTTCTTCCAGTTCAGCACAAGATTAGTCTCAATGCAGCGAAGAAGCAATTTTTTCCAGGTTATTCAGGCATCTGGAAAATGTCTTGCCATATACTGAGAAGTCATCCCTGAATACTTTTATGCAGGAGTCCAGGAGATCGCTGAAAATATGGTACATACATCGCTGGAAGGTGGCCGGGGCGTTGCAGAGCCCGAACAGCATCCCCCTGTAAGTGAAGGTCCCATATGGACAAGTAAATGTAGTTTTCTCATAGTCCTCCGGTTTGATGGGAATTTGGTGGTAGCCTGAGTAGCCATCGAGGAAACAGTAGTATTCATGACCTGCGAGCTTCTTAAGGCATTGATCAAGGAATGGCAGCGGGAAATGATCCTTCTTCGTGGCTGCATTCAGTCTTCTGTAAGTGATGCAGACCCTCCATCCAGTGACAGGTCTTGTCATGAAGACCTCCCCCTCGTCGCTTGTTTGTTCAACGAAGCCTCCTTTCTTGGGAACCATCTGGGTTGGGCTGACCCACTGGCTGTCACTGATAGGGTATATGATTCCTGCATCGAATAGCTTGATCACCTCTTTCTTCACCACTTCTTGCATATTCTCATTTAGTCGCCGCTGAGGCTGTCTGCATAGCTTAGCGTCAGCGTCCAGCCTAATATGGTGCATGCACACCGCTGGGCTGATTCCCTTGATGTTTGTAATCTTCAATGCAAACGCCGTTTTTCTTCTTTTGAGCAGTGAGATGAACTGAGCCTCTTGGTCCGGCAACAGTGAGGCGGAGATTATCAGTGAGTAACTCTCATCCAGGCCAAGGAATATGTATTTGAGGTGCTCAGGTAATTTCTTCAGCTCGTCCTTTATGTTGGTATCGCTTTCTGGTTCCCTCGTCGCTCGTTCAATGGGTTCAGTGGGTGCTGGCGTCTCATCGCTCGCCTCACCTGAATCCTCTTTATCTTCCAGATTTTCAAGTGTTATATAGCTCTCAAAAGTTGATAATTCATTTAACTCATTGATAAAATCACAATTTTCTTCCTGAGGTTGACGCAATGCTGAGTTCATGGAAAATGTGACTTTATCGCCACCAAAACTTAATGAAATTTCGCCTTCGGCGACGTTTATCGTAGCTTGAGCGGTGGCTAGGAAAGGTCTCCCTAAGATAATTGGAATTTCGTGATCTTCGCTCATTTCCATTATAATGAAATCTGCAGGGAAAATAAATTTGTTTACTTGCACGAGTACATCACAAATAATTCCTTTAGGTAATCTTATTGATTTATCGGCAAGCTGAATTATAGTTCTGCATGCTTTTAACTCATAAAGCTTTAATTTAGAGAAAAGCGAGAAGGGCATAAGATTGATACTTTCTCCTAGATCACATAATGCCCTAATCGGCTCTAAATTTCCTATGGTACAAATAATAATAAAACTCCTAGGATCGCTGAGTTTCTTTAGGAGGTCCTCCTTAAATACGGCGCTGCACACACTCTCCAGCTGCACCGCTGCTGCTTCATCAGGGAATGCCCGCTTTCGATTGATTATATCCTTGAAAAATTTAGCGTAATGTGGCATCTGTGACAAAGCATCAACAAACGGTATAGTAATTTGAAGACTATGGAAAGTATGTACAAACTTATCAAATTCCTTTGAGTTGTCATTCTTTCAAGTCGTGTGGGAAAGGAGGCTCGAGCCAAGGGCTGAGCGGGACCCTTTTCCTTCGGTTCAGGCACCTGAGCGGCTGGTATCGCTCGAGGTTGGGATGAACCTTCTTCCTCAACTGGAATCTGTAAAATTTCATCATGCACAGACACGTTAGCAACAATAGGGGTAGGAAAATGATTTATACCTCTGTCTGGCAGCAGTGGTAATTGCGTCCGCTTCCCACCCCTTGTTTCGATAGCCTTCGCTTGGTTCGGGACAGTCTCGACTGTCCTAGGTAATATTCCTTTTTGCTTCGGCTCATAGCTTCAGCTATCTGCCCGACTAGTATTTCCAGCATTTTGATCGAGGCATATGTGTTTCTTTGGAACTCCTAATTTGCACGCTCTGCGTGCCTCCAAAGTTCCTCCAGACTCAGCGGTGCTTGGGCCGCTGTGGGAGGTTGGGCAAATGTAGGTGCCTGCTGCGGAAAGTGGGGGGCTTGATAATATTGTTGTTGATGTGGATAATAGCCCTTTGATGATATTGTTGCGCAGCGAACTGTTGTGGCCTTTGAAATTGTTGTTGAGGACGCGGTCCAGCGAGGCTTTGAGTCTGCCCCTTATGGAACTGCTGGACTTGAGGGGCATTTCTGCCAGCCATATAGTAGAGCTCCGCTGGGTTCTGAGCCTCTTTAGATGAGCACTCAGCAACCTGCGGACCTTGTTGGTCTACAAAAGCATTCTCCTCAAGTTCCGCGGCCTCATACAGCGCCTGTTTCCCTTTGTTACGCAAGTCCTGCTTCATGAACTTAGACAGCTCCTTGACTTGGATTTACAGACTGTCAATCCTTGCGTCGTGAGAAACGGAAACAAGAACCTGGTATAGACCCCTCGATGGCTTGGGCCCGTTAGATTTTGGCCAACTTGACTGATTGGCCGCCATCTTTTCTATCAAAGCCCTCGCTTCTGAGGCATAGCGCCCCATCAACGAGCTTCCTGCCGCTGCATCAAGCAACATCCTCAGTTCAGGAGTGATTCCTGAGTAGAAAATTTAGAGCTGCATGAAGTCCAGAATTTCATGATAAGGGCAGCACCGGAGCAATTGTTTGTATCGGCTCCAGGCTTTGAGAAGGGTCTCGTCACTCGCCATCTTGAAAGTGAGTATTTCATTCCTCCGGCGAATGCTCTTTGACACAGGATGGTATTTACTCACGAAAGCCTGCGCTGCTTCCTTGAAAGAGCCAGGAATGGGATATAGGTTGTCAAACCACTTCCTGGCTTCTCTAGATAAAGAGAAAGAAAACAAAATGAGTTTTGCAGCGTCCTCCGTGATGTCGTGAGATTTGGAGGTGGCAGCGATCCTGTTGAAGTTCTGTAAATGCTCATAAGGGCTTTCGTTGAGCAGCCCATGGAATTTGCTCTAGCTCGCCAGGCTGACGAGCGCTGGTTTCACCTCATAATGGCCAGAGCCTCTGGGCACAGAATTAGTAATTAAAGTATGATCCAGAAGGGACTGGTAATGAACGTCCATGGGGACTTCAGCAAGCGGGCGTTCAGCAGCCCTGTGTCCCTCAGCCCTCTAGTTAGGCTTAGCAGTAGGTGGTGGGGAAGTGATGGCAGCAGGAATCGCAGCAGTGTTGGCAACTTGAGCCGCTTGGGAAGCGATAAATGCCCCTTGCGCAGCCTGGGCTTTCTCCACCTGAGCGAGGTGCGCTTGCAGCCCCGTTATTCCCTGTTGGATGCTACTGAGGGCTCTCATGAGCTGCTCCTCAGTCGGTGTGAGTGCATGGGGAA